CGGCGTCCGGGGGGGATTTAGGGCTTTGTGCCCATTGAGACTTTTGATCTACATGTTAAGAACTATCAACCTGAGAAGTTTCAAAGAAATTGGCCGAAAGCCACTTCCCATAAGAAAAGTGTGGGGTCCTTTAATTCTCTAAAAAATGTTTCCTATGAAGCATAGCGAAATTTTGCTTCGTTTTCGAGCTACAATTAAAAAACTGAAACCTTTCACACCTATCTTCAATTTCCACCCCCTAATTTAATAGCACTCCGGGGTTTTTTCATCTAAATTGACCATTTGAACGATTCATGTAATAAAATATCTTGAACGTCATAGTTCCTCTTAAAATCCTATATTCAATAGCCTACAAGAGTAGTGCAGATTTGCACTGTGTAAACATTTTTGTTTCCTTTCCTGTGGCCAAAAAACAGTAGATCTTGTGCTGTTATTGGTAACTTAAAGGTGGCGCATCTTTTATAAATTCCAATTATTCTGAATTCTGGAATAATTTGGAGGGTAACTCAGTATACTGAGTTATAAGCTCCATCCATTGGATCCCTTGTGCATCCCTCAACGAGAGATCCGCTCTCCTAAGCCGTTAACCAGCCTATCAAGGAGAAAAAGGTGAGAGATCCCTCTCTGATGTAGCACGGACTCTCTTGTTGACGAGACACCAGTGTACTCGCAGAGTATATGGAAAACTGTGTCATCTTCCTGCTCACAACCTCTACAAAGAGGTGTTTCGCACTTTCTAATATTGTAGAGGTCTTTTCTTAGCCAACAGTGTCCAGTCTGAATACCCGACACCTCAACGTTCATTTTCTGAGTTTCACCTCATGTGTATTCACCGACAATGCTAACAATTGTTGCTATTAGTCAGCACACTACGTAATTATAATTATAAAAAAATTAAATGTATTAAGATTTAATTCATCATTAAGTGACGTGTATTAGTTATTACCTCATTTACAATTTTGTATATTTTATTCATGCTGAGCATTTTTAATTTCTTGGTTCGGCATCCCACAAAACTGCTTCAAATAAGTCATTAATAGTCCAGGAAAAAAAGACATAAAAAGACGGAATAAGCGAATTTTTTTACTTTGGAGAAAGAAAGATATGATAAATCTGACACCACTTTCTCGNGTTCCGTTTACTTACGATATCAAAACAACAAAATGAGAAAAAATCAGCTTTGTAGGAATTGGTGCAAAATTTCTGTCGCTGCCTCCCGGACTATATTTTACAAATACTTAACAATTATGCATGGGGTATTGCGACGGGCGCATTACAAGCTTTACATAAAAAACCCAGATATGGAAATCCATAATAAATACATAAAAAAGCTGTTTTTTAATTATAAATAAATAAAAAAATATATTCATATAGTTTTTTTTATTATGCTATTGCAGCTCCAGAAAATTGTTTTCCTATTGTCATTAGATTTAAATTTCCAATTTCATTACATTACAAATTATTATTTTTTAATATTCAAAATACAAAAAATAAAGAAAACAGATTTTTCTGGAAAATTTAAAAAGTGCATAATTAATTCGTAATGTACACCCTCGAAAACCTATAAAATGATACGTTTGTTCATAAATATTCAAACCTCGGAAAATTATATAAGATTTTCTAAGAATTTTCTACAATTGATTCATTCATTTTTTTATTTAAAAACGAATTGACCATTATTTTGGCTCCAAAACATAAATTTTCACATAACCTGTACTACATTTAAAAAATATACGGGAAAACTATTGGGAAATTCGAAATTTTTCAGATGAGCAATTTTGTAAGAAATTTAATTTTGAACTACTCTTCTTTGAAACTTTTTTCGAAAAAACCGCATCTTCATTGAGATATTGGCAGTTTTCTATAAAAAAATATCAAAGTAAAAAAATTCGTTGATTTTTTTTTATTTTCCTGGATTAGGGTTAAAATTATTTAAGATCGATATTTTGTTCAGCTATCAGTAAAATTTCAGTAATTCCAATCAAAGGCTCGACGGTTCATATGGTTCGTCTTTTCTGAAAAAATAAGGAATAAGAACACACCTGTCGTTGAATTGTTTGTACATCAAATCATATTACGTGAGTGCGATTTGTGCGGGACTTTTGGGAGAGAAATATTTTCANTAATAATATTTCTAATATACATTTAATGAATGCTACCCGAAGCGTTGCCAGAAAATGCGCGAAATGTGTGACAGTTGAGGGACGGCAATTGAACATTTAGATGATGATGTAGGTACTTACTATTGTTTAATACCTTAATATTTTAACTTCAGTTGAAGTGGAATAAAAATTTTAAAACTATCTTTTCTTATCTGTAATATATATTTTAAATAAACTTCATATTTTTACAACAGATATCAGTTTTGTAAGTAAGAATTATTATTGTTCTGTATGTATTTTCATAGCCAGCCATATTAAAAAGGTAAAAAGGGATCGAATTTATATATAAAACACCCCGTATCTTCTGTGTTTGTAAACATAACTATAGCATGTGATATATTGCTGAAAAGCAAATAAAAATCTCCATTTTTTTAGGTCATGACCAGCTACGATTTCCATTTAAAAAAATACAACTTTGGGTCATAACTCTGGAATCTTAAGACCTACTAAAAATCTAATACCGGCATTCAATTTTACGCCAAAGAATNTCTACATTATTATAAACGTTATGAAACATTTGATATTTTTATTAAAACTGTTAAGAACAACAATGGCAACTTCAACTACAGCAGTTTAATGACAACATATTTTCCTTAATACCCATTAATAGCTATTAATTATTGCTTAAAAAGGTAATAATATATAACGAGCGTTCAAATAAAAACGTGGTCAAGTTGGTTCTGAAAATTTGGACGTAGGGCCGTAGCGTATAGCAAATGAACTTAAACGTCATCTGTCAAAGCACTATATCGCCGCTATCAATTTGAACATTTTCGTTTTAAATAGCGTTTAAAATGGTGTTTTCTCAAGAACAAAAAGTGTTTATCATAGAGTCCTACTTTAGAAATGGACGCAAGATTGATGGAATATGGAAGTATTCTATTGAGGAATGTTTCATAGAATTTCAAAATCAATTTCCCGGCGTTGTTGAGNATGTAGGTTGGACTTTTTCCTTTGGGGTTTTCTAAAAGACATTATATTTAAAATTACTTTTTACTCTATCGAGGAACTTCGACGAAATGTTGAAAATTCTTTTAATAATATTTCTAATATACATTTAATGAATGCTACCCGAAGCGTTGCCAGAAAATGCACGAACTGTGTGACAGTTGAGGGACGGCAATTGAACATTTAGATGATGATGTAGGTACTTACTATTGTTTAATACCTTAATATTTTAACTTCAGTTGATGTGGAATAAAAATTTTAAAACTCTATCTTTTCTTATCTGTAATATATATTTTAAATAAACTTCATATTTTTACAACAGATATGAGTTTTGTAAGTAAGAATTATTATAGTTTTGTATGTATTTTCATAGCCAGCAATATTAAAAAGGTAAAAAGGAATCGAATTTATATATAAAACACCCCGTATGTTCTGTGTTTGTAAAAATAACTATAGCATGTGATATATTGCTGAAAAGCAAAGAAAAATCTCCATTTTTTTAGGTCATGACCAGCTACGATTTCCATTTAAAAAAATACAACTTTGGGTCATAACTCTTAAGATCTACTAAAAATCTAATACCGGCATTCAATTTTACGCCAAAGAATTAGTCTTGAGCAGTTTTCTCTTTAACTCTACCTTATTTAACAGCTGAGATACAGACATATTCAAAAGTACCACAATAACGAGAAACGCCCTGTAACTCAGAAACAAATAAAGATAGCAAATTTCTGAATTGACAATTGAGTTTGCCATGAAAATCGAGCTCGAGAACGTGATGTCAGATTTATCATATCTTTAGTAGTTTCTGAAATACCCTGAAATCCCACCGAAAATGGACCAGCCTGTACATTACGAATTAATTATGCGCTTAATATTTTCCAGAAAAAAATCTATTTTCTTTAAAAAATTTTTGCGATGAAGCAGCTTGTATTCCCCTAAACCTATGGGTTCAGGTTTACAATTAAGAAATCGGTGTGGGTACAGAAAAACCTGATACGTAAAAGACTATAATATTTATTAGTCGACAACAATGACACTTGACATCAATAGCCTGATGGCTTATAAACGACTCCTAAAGGTGGGATTTCCTAGCGTCGTCCAGCGTTCGCGGTCCGCCGCGACGGCGGGCAGTTGATGACACGTACAATGCGTTTTTAATGCGACCGTTTTCTCTGAGGCGTGTCGACGTGTCGTCTCAGCGTCGGGCCGTCAGCGGCTGCGTCTCGACTGCTCAAAAACATGTCCAGACGCGAACGTAGACCCAGCCGTCACTTATTATTAACATATCTGTTGAAAAATAAGCTTGTGATAAATTTAGACAAGTGTAAAATGTCTCAAAAATTTTCACATGCAGATGACGAAGTGTGGACTGATCAAGTACGTGAGTTTCCTTGCATATATGACCACGAAAATAAAGACTTTAGATTATCCCTTCTTCTAATAACATTAATGCTCTTAAAATATTCCTATTCATCATGACAACTTTCACTTAAATTGAAGTTAACTAACTACCTGAACACAGAGCAGTACTGGGTGTACCCACGACTGCAAAAAAACGCGGACGCCAGACGCTTTTGACAAATCTAAAAACCGATGCGGCCAGCGGTTACTGCCCGCCGTCACGGCGGACCGCGAACGCTGGACGACGCTAGGAAATCCCACCTTAACACGGCGTCCTGGGCCGACAAACGGTTCAACGCGGTTGAAGTGGCCGACGCGGTGCTAACGGTAAATGCGATCAGACTGTCCTACGTGCACTTTCAACGCGCGGTAGCGTGGCATTCATGATAGTGTTGCAGTTGTCAAGATGTCGTGGACGAGGAAACGCATCGTTCTGTTAACTGAGACCATCCATTTAAACAGTATAATAATTCGTAAAAAACAAATAATAAAAAACGCATGACAAGCACAGTAGGTATTTTTAGAAAAAAATAATCATTTATATGAAAAATTACGAAATTGTCCTAAAAAACCAGAACTATTTCCAGGACATGCCAGAATGTTTCCCGAACATTCGACTACATCGTATGTTATGTATGATGAAAACACGCCGTTATTCTTTGCGAATACCACGAAGTTTTTAAAGTAGTTTTTATGATTCTCAANCCATATACCTATTTAATCCTATCTTATGAAGGCATTTTTAATATTCAGCAAATGTAGCTAATATACACCGAGGAAACAGTTTATTGTTAATAAATTACTATTATAGTAAACAAATGCTGGTGTTGAATATAACCTAGCCAACATAATTTTCTGGGAACAAATAATATATTCGAAGATGTTAAACAATCTTCGATGCAAGAGAACATGCTGGATTAAAAAAACATATACATTTGTATTTGTTAGAAGTGAAAAATATTTTTTCCTGTCGAAGAAATTAATTATTTTACAAAAATTATGGTATCATCTGTAACAAAGACTTCTTCAAGGCTAATTATACAGGGTGCCCCAGAATAACGTGTACAACGGAAGACCATATAGTCGTGGACTCAAAGTAGGCAGATTTAGGCTTATTCACCTATATCCGAAATAGCTTCGCTTGGCCACTAGATGGCTTCAAAATTCGTGAAAATTTTTTCAATTTTATAAATAAGTCAAATATGTATTAATCGATTTTGATTATTTTTGAGGTGTTGCTTTCAACCTACAAATTTTGATGTTATACAGAGTGTTTTTAAAACTCTCAACTCCTATAAAATTGATGTATGGTGATAATATCCGTTCAGCACTTTTGCCTCTTTCGGGCAATAATGACAACTATTTTTTATTTGATAGGTGATACCATCTGAAAGTTTTTGGGCCTTTTATAGAATTTTGATTAAATAAGCGGTTTTGCTTCAAAAAAATATTTTTTAAAAGTCTACATTATCTTGCCACCCTTATTACAATACTAAACAAAGTGCTAGTAGTCATTGATTATGTAGGTGGACTGTAGTTTCAGTTTGATCAACTATCACCTATTTGATTACATTTCAAATAAAAAATAGTCGTCACTGTTGCCCAAAAAATTTTGTAGCTGTAGTTTTAAGTTTTAAAAAGCACTCTTTATAACATCAAAATATGTAGATTGAAAGCAAAGTCCTCATCCCAAAAGTAATTAAAATCGGATAATACGTATTGGAGATATTTACAAAATTCAAAAAATTTTTATGAACTCTGCGACCATCTAGCGGCGAAACGAAGCTATTTTGGATATAGGTGAATTAGCCTAAATCTGCCTATTTTGAGTCCACGAATCTGTGGTCTTCCGTTGTAAACGTTATTCTGGGACACCCTGTATATTCTAATTTTTAAAGTAACAATTTTAAGACAGAACAAAGTTTTTTAAAGAAATAAATGATATATTTTTTTTCAAATAAATTGATTACTGTTGAAGAAAGATAAATTTCAGCAAAATGCACATACTCTTGAGTCGAATATATTTATTATCGATTGAAACTGAATATAATGTACAATGTCATTGTTAAATACTCTAGTCGAATTAGATCATAGAACCTGAAAACTTGAAAAAATTATTAGTATACATTTTATTGCTCTGTATGACGGAGAAGGGTATGTATAATGATATTCAGCCCTATTATGTAACTTGCATCGAAATGCTCAGATCGAGTCGAAATGTTCGCAATTCGTAAAGTTCAATGTCTATCGCGTCGATCGTTTCCTAAGATTGGTATTCTGTAACTCAAATCGTAGAGAAAGACCTCGATTCGATGCCGGTTTACCGTAATGGCAACAATGCATTGCTCTGCGATTATAGACTTTAATAACCAAGTGACATTTAGAGAGGTTAGATTTTACAATATGAAATGTGCCTTTTACCAAGATTTAGCGCAGGTATAAAAAGTGGAATTTACGCACAGTTGACTTGCAGATGTGTTTTAATAGGAAATCCCATGTTCGGTAAATTTAATTGTACCTACCTACTAGATTGTNTGTTCATTATTTTCTGTCTTCTATTTATTAATGACAAAAAAATAATTCAGTTTCTTTCCAGGTACGTCGACGATTTAAATACAGTATTCAGTGCGCCAATTGCTTTGTTGATGATGACTAGCATTACCATATTGTGTATAAATATGTACACTACAACAGTAACGTAAGTATTTTTGGTATGAAACAGAACACGAGACTGAATTTAATTTTTAAAAAGAGTTGAATAAAAAACACGTCACGGGACCTTTAGCTTTAGTTATCAGAATTATTAAAATTTCTCAAAACAGTATGTAATAATTATAATTCTCTAATTATCTAGCAGAAGGATTACATTAGCACTTCAGTACAAAATTTTACAGTAAAGATTGGTATCATGCAGTAAATCTAAAAAGAAAACCGCTAAAATATAAAAAAACTTGATTTTTTTTTAATAAACATAGTTGTTTGTATATAAAAAACAAACTTTGAAAATTGGAGAATAAGAAATTATTATTAGATTTTAAAGTCAATGTCAAGTCCTTAATAGTCAATTGTTTGCCATATACCTATTTAATCCTATCTTATGAAGGCATTTTTAATATTCAGCAAAGGTAGCTAATATACACCGAGGAAACAGTTTATTGTTAATAAATTACTATTATAGTAAACAAATGCTGGTGTTGACTGTTGAATATAACCTAGCCAACATAATTTTCTGGGAACAAATAATATATTCGAAGATGTTAAACAATCTTCGATGCAAGAGAACATGCTGGATTAAAAAAACATATACATTTGAATTTGTTAGAAGTGAAAAATATTTTTTCCTGTCGAAGAAATTAATTATTTTACAAAAATTATGGTATCATCTGTAACAAAGACTTCTTCAAGGCTAATTATACAGGGTGCCCCAGAATAACGTGTACAACGGAAGATCATATATAGTCGTGGATTCAAAGTAGGCAGATTTAGGCTTATTTACCTATATCTGAAATAGCTTCGCTTATAATTTTATAAATAAGTCAAATATGTATTAATCGATTTTGATTATTTTTGGAGTGTTGCTTTCAACCTACAAATTTTGATGTTATATAGAGTGTTTTTAAAACTCTCAACTCCTATAAAATTGATGTATGGTGATAATATCCGTTCAGCACTTTTTCCTCTTTCGGGCAATAATCACAACTATTTTTTATATGGTAGGTGATACCATTTGAAAGTTTTTGGGCCTTTTATAGAACTTTGATTAAATGAGCGGTTTTACTTCAAAAAAATATTTTTTAAAAGTCTACATTATCTTGCCACCCATATTACAATACTAAACAAAGTGCTAGTAGTCATTGATTATGTAGGTGGACTGTAGTTTCAGAGCAGCTGAACTACATGGTAGATTTCATTGCGCTGCACAAAATGTTACTTCATGGTAAAACTAAGCCCTTTGATAGAGAATATTATAAACCATTAGATAACTAAATAAAAAATATACCTATACACCTACGTATAGACGTACAGATATTTTATAATTCTGTGATTTAAAACACGAAAAGGAAAAAAGATTTGTTGTGTTACGAGGTTATGCTTAACTCAAACTGACACATCTAACACAAGAACGCATGCGTGACCCGATCTCGATATCTAAAACTACCACTTCGACAGAGTTTGACCGATCGACGTCGATTTCGACCAACAAGTTATAGAATACCGATGTTGCCCAATTTCGATTTGATGGGTTGATCTCGATTCGATTTTATACATTTCTATTCGATTAGGAGTTACAGAATAGGGCTGAAATATCAAAAAGTAACTTGAAAGAAGTGACGCTAAGTTGGCAAATTGCAAATAATTGGCAAATTTATGTGTTTTTCACTTTTTTTACTACCCATGAAAATTTAGACGACGGCAAAAATTTTACAGTCATTCGAATCGGCCTTTGGCACACATTTTGGTCTTTCGACCGTCTTTTCCATAAATTTCCGCAACGTCCATCGCTTTTTGCAATAACAAATTGGTGAAATATGACTTTAGATACCTTAAATTGTAGGTAATTAATTGCCTACTACATAAAATGACTAACATTCCGATAGGTCGTCTAAACTTTCGTGGGTAGTAAAAAAGTGAAGAAACAGGTTTTCAATTTGCCAACTTAGATTCACTTCTTTCGAGTTACTTTTTTGATATTATCATTCTACATATCCTTCCCCGCCATAAAGTGCAAGAAAATGTCTACTAATAATTTTTTCACGTTCAAACTTTATAATTCGACTGGAGTAAAAGAATCGGTTTCAACCGATGGATTTCCTTTATTGCCACAAATGTTGACAAACTAAAACATAAAAATAGATATTATAATTTATATTAATTTATGTAGTAAAAATAAATCAGTACTAATAATGATTCACGTAAATTATCACTACATAATAAAACTATTTTTTTTTTCGGATCCATACCATCTGATTTCCATAGTTATTAATTTTTGCAATAAGCAAGTGGTAATTTTTAAACAAAATTAACCACTTGACCATATATTTCACATGTCCCATTTGAAAGAAATATGAAGTGCCAATAATGAACTGTTCTATCAGTGTAGAACATAGCAGCAATGCGCCCTATGTAGCCTAACGGCTTAGAATTATTACTTGCAAATATATTTTCATTCACCACAATGATATTTGTTATCAATAATCTTTTTCAGTGAATGGAAGTTATCGAATCAAGTTAGACTGTTTCTGACAATATTATGTATACTCACAGAATCATTTTTTGTGTATGGCTTTCCCGCGCAAGTAATGATGGAGCAGGTATGTATTACTGTAAGCAATTAAACACAGGCACATAATATTATATACAGTCAGTGGCGGATTTACACATTAGCCGTCAGTCAAATTTTGCCTAATTGCACCGCCTTATTTCCGTAATTAGTGTTATTGTGAATTCCTATATTATTTTTACAATCCATTTTAGTTAATATGGCACAAGAAATAATTTTTGGGTCGAAATTATAGAAAAATTTATCTAAGTAGTGGAACATATTACATGCTGAATTGTTTGTGTGGACTTAATAACATTTAGGTATACATATAAATATAAATCATTTTAATTTCTGCACAAAAAAAATTTTGGCCCCAAATTTTCCGCCCCTAAAATCTGCCGCCCTATGATCCAGCCTACTCAGCCTAATGGTAAATTCGCCAATGTACAGGGTGGGCAAATAAGCGAGGTAAGCGGCTGTATCTCAGAAACTAGTGATCGTAGAGAGCTATGGNGCCGCACCGGCCGTTTGTCGCCGCTTACCCAGGACGCCGTGTAAATCTACGAACCCTGCAGTGGCGTTCAGCGTCTCCAAACGGGAATGGGAACATTCGTGTATTGACACAGCAACAGATATCTGACCTTAGAGCCTTAAATCCTGTTCTGTTCTGTTCAGGCAGTATCCAGAGCACGGGCGGGCTGGCGACGAGGTAAATACTGTTAACTCCGCAGTGACCACCTCTTAGGCTTAGGCCGGAGGATCTCGAGTGTCAGCAATCTCCTGGAGAAGCTATTCAATGCAACACAGCAGTTGATTCCTCCAGACTCCTGATTTCACCTCCCTTCCGTCAATCTCTTGACTTTTTCCCCTTTCCGTCAATCTCTCTCCGCCTCCTATCCCTCGTTTTTTCCTTCTACTCGCGCACTTCACACTCACCACTTAATATCTACAACTAATCTATTTTACAACTATAGCCCGGGAGGCAGCGACATTATTGATGTAATTATTCCTACAAAGCTGATTTTTTCTCATTTTGTTGTTTTGATATCGTAAGTAAACGGAACGGCAGTCTACCGCGCCAATGTGGGGGCAAACGTTAGTAACAATTTTTTAAACATGTAAATAAATAATACTTAAATGCCTTATACCTACAAGGCTGAAACTTTTTAGAGTGATCAATTATACCTAAAAATACAGTATAGTGATAGTCTACCGCGTCGGAAGGGGGGCCATCAAGGGTCTACCACCCACGCAAGGTGTTGAAAAATTAACTTTTTTGACTTATTTCTACAAGGCTGAATTTTTTTTCTCAAATACTTTAGTTTATAAGAGAACCAAAAAAAA